AACATTACTATCAATTGCGACAAATTGAACGTGAAAATGCTTTTGAAAGGGATGTTTTATACGTACACATGATAAAGAACAATGGAATTTAATAGTTGTGTGCATATTCACACTTACAGTTTAGATTTTTTTGGTGTTTATAAGACCATTTTTTTATTACACATAGCTGAACACTTCAAAAGTTGTGTTTTCTAAAATTCTTCTCTGCTTGAGTGATAATAATCTGAGAACAGGAATATCTATGCTACTTCATATCCTCTGATGAGCTTCTTCCGTCAAAAATATATATGATACTTTCATTACCGCCTATTATGAAGGACATATTTAATTAATTTGTGTTTTTGGTGAATTACTCTTATTTCTTCATATGTTATTAAAATGAAAATTAATTTAGTTTAAAATTAAGAATTAAGTAAAAATCAAAATAAAATATTCTTAATGATAAATTAATAACATTCATAAAACAATAATTTCATAACCCTGAAAATTAAATTGTAACATTTCGACAAACAAATTTATTTTTATCAAACCTTTACAAAATTAAAAGTTTTATATTCATAAATGTATGATACAGACAACCTTGCATTGACGAAAGGTTATAGTTTAAATTTCAGTTAGATTATTTCATTGTTTTTATTTATGTATTTTATTTATTCAATTGCATATTAATGTATAGTATTTAATTTGTTGTATTTTTAGTTAAATCTTGATCTTAAATTAAATTAATTTTCATGTTAATAAAGTATAAAGATATAAGAAAGTGCTCGAATACATGTGACTAGATGTATACCTGTACATTACTTCGATGTGCAATCACATGGCTTTGTCGAACATGTCAAATTTCTTGAGTAGCTGCTAAATGTAGCATAGATATTGTGTACAAAACATTTTCATATTTGCAATTTCAAGGTATGATAAAGTTAAATTTTCTTTTTCGTCACATTAACTGAGCTCGGAAGTACACCCGCTATATAGACACATTCGTATTATACTTTGTCTCTCTGAAACCAGTTCTTTAAGTTTAAATTACATCACATAATTGCAATATCAACAAGTGAGTTTTGAATTTAAGTACCCCGTGCCACAGCGAAGTCTTATTTCTGGCACTAATAAGACATGTCAGAGCTCCAAATTGAATCTAATCTTCATCTGAAATTATTTTTTACAATGATTTCTTGATCACTTCCATAAGTCATTTTATCTGCTAATGATGGTGTTACTTTGTTTTGATTTCTGTTTAAAAAAAATAATAAATATAAATCATATCTTTATATTCATACACTAAATATAAAGACAACATTTATTATTATAAAATAAATAGTAGACAAGTTTTTACGAACGTATAATTTTTAATTTTTGCTAGATAGTTCACAAAAATTTATGAAATCATAAATACAAATAAAATATACAGATGATTTTTTTTGCATAAATTTTTTTATGTATCAGTTTCATTTTTCAATAATATCACATATTGGAGGGTGTGGGTGTGAATTTATGCTATGTTCACACCCCACGCCCACACCCCACGCCCACACTCAGACCTACACCCTGATTATGAAGACTCTCTGCATATTGATTTGACTATTTGACTAAGTGCAAGCAGTAACATGCCAAAAAAAGTTTTTCATTGTCTGTGATTTTGAGAATTTTCTGGTCTCCTTGCTTACAATTTGCGAGAGAAAGTAAAGAAAGTTCACTTTTTCAAGTCTGTATAGTTACTTCAGTACCCATTATCATTGTGTTTCTGAATACAGATGATATCGTTAAACGTAATATACTAATAATCACTGCGAATTATTATACTTAATGTTGTGTTGTACACACCTTTGCAATAATAAAAGCGATATACATAGGGAGGATCAAAAAGTTCTGAGAATTTTGAAAAGGAGGGAGTCGGATTTAGTGATCTATTCAGAATTAGAAAAACAAAACATGCCATGTTGTAGAGCAAGTCGAGACGTGTCGAATGGTACATAACAAATCTTGTTTTCATAAGATTTTGAGGGAACCAGACTGGATTTATTGGTAGACGACCATTGTTAGCCTTGGTATCAGTCGAAAGTGTTTGTAAAAATAATTTTCCTATATGTAGTTTGTAATGCTTTTCACGGGCTACAAGCTCATATGCTCAGCATCTCCGATCGTCCAATCTTTGATAGAGAAAAATGCGACTTTTCGATGATTCATCATCGTTTTCCAGGGGTAGTAGCTATTGGTGAATCTTTGAATTCATGGGCGTATGCCAGTAAATCCAGTCCGGTTCCCTCAAAATCTTATGAAAACAGGATTTGTGGTATACTATTCGACGCGCCTCGACTTGCTCTACAACATGATGTGTTTGGTTTTTTAATTCTGGATAGGTTACCAAATCCGGCATGATCATTTTTAAAATTCTCAGAACTTTTTGATCCCCCTAGTATTTCAGTCTCTATTACATAAATATGAGCATTTTTAACTGAAATAACACTTAAGATGTGAAAATTGATTATGCGTATCGACACTTTTGTCACATTCTTTATTTCAGAGCAACACACAGACTGTTTACATAATAATTACTGCGCTTCTTCTGAAAACACCTCTATGGAATGAAAAAGTGCCAATTATAGACGAGAGTACTACTGAATCTGAGACGATAAAGTTAAACGGTTGGAGCTCGATATCTGTTGTATGCCTATAAGAAATGGCATCTAATTATATTTTATAGTAGCAAAAAAAGATTTGACATTTGTTAAATGGGATCATTTGGTTCCGTTCAGCATTGATCTTGCCCGCTGTCGAAATTGGTACGATCCGAATGGAATGGATTGCAATGCTTATACAGGTGATACCTTATGCACCGAACAACGGTCTGTGCTTTGTATGAAGATAGACGATTCATCCAGATCACCTTATCTCATACTCGGAAATGGTGCTGCCATGTCTGCCTGGTACTACGCTGGTTGGACAATGGGCATATCACAACCACATTGCCAGTTGCCGGTTCTCAATTTAGTAATCGAACAGCTGTTGATGCATTGTGTGCTAAGTATTTCTGGTAAGCATTCTTCATTGAGTTGAGCAATGCACTTGTCTATGCTTTTTCTGATATAATACTGGTTGGCGTTTGGTCACATTTGATGATGGAATATACATTCCACAAATGAATGGAACCACATATGCTGGAAATAGTTGGACAGCGAACGCTCATTTGATGCAATTTGGCGGTTGGCACTACTATTCGTATGGTCATGTTCAAAATGATACACGCCTTTGGGTTCACATTAGGGATCAACAAGCAATTTATTGAAGCAATTGAATTTGCAATTTTTCATTTGACTGCTTCATAGATTTTCCAGTTAGAATTTTACTCATGTATGCATTTTTTAAACTTTTTCTTTACTGCTCAATAAAATAATTAAGTAAATCAGTCATAATTAAAATTGGTCGTTATTTTTTTCAACATGGGCAGTATTGCGTTGCACAAAATATTTGATCAAAGGAATTCTTTTAGAATCTTAATTTTTTTGTTTTCACAAATTTTAACTGTCTTTTAAAACTTAAAACTTGCGGTGCAACAATTTTCAAGCAGTTAAAAGTCCAACAGTTTAGAAAGTTTTTCAATGCGAACCTCACAATGGCACAGTATAGATGATGGGAGATGGCTAATTTTATTATACATAAAGACCATCTAGCTATGAACCGGTCCATCGCATTCATTATTTCGGACTACTGAAGTATAAATCCATTAATAATGGAAAAATTCTTTTGAAAATTCAAAATACAGTCAACATTTTTCAAACTTTCAAAACGCTAATCACACTATCAGTTTATGAATGATATAGACATAGACATCTTGACTACATTTTGTACAGCAGTAGTTCATTTTTCTCATTACATACTTCAAAACTAATTGAAAATTGTGTAACAAACAGAGCTATAAACACAGAAACAAGTGATTTTTTGCCAATACTAGATCTTTTGTAGGGCTAACTATGCTTACATTTCATCAGAAAGTCTCAACATCGATTATATGGTCACAGAAAGACCTGATATAAATCCGCTCAAACTTGTCACATACATCTCTCGAGATAAGCGATATATGAAAAGCAGATAATCTACAATGCTAACTAAACGATAGAACTTTTATTTTTTCTTCAAATTATATGTAACTTATTTGTATAACACGTTCCTAAACGAAACGACACAACAGAAATTAGAAGTGTTCTTTAAAAAAAATCCACACTTGTCATGAGATTCAGAAAAATGCCACAAATGGTCTCTCCTAAATGTCTTTGATAATTTTTCGATAGAAACGTTTTGCAAAGAATATTTTTTTTATCAATTGATAGGAAATTTTCTACTCTTTCAAAAAATGCATGATTTGTATTTGTCACATGTCCGTGAATGAAATGACACGAGTAAAAAAAAGAGAAGCAAACAGACAATAAATTTGTAACTGTTATATGAACAAAAGTCTTGTAAAATATGTTTGATGAATTTATATACGACTTACTAATTTATTTTGCGAGTATTTCTCTTTTTCAACTGATCAAAAAAAATACTCTGTTCAGTACCTGTTTATCGTAGAGCTATAAGGATCAACATTTTCTGCAATCCTTTTATAGAAAAAATGTGCATGTTTTTCTTATTGTTCTATTAGCGTACGATAACTTCAGGTGGCAGCAAGTATTCTATGAAATAAAAGGGCATGAAATGCTAGTTAGGAGACTACTCTGCTTAAATAACAGCAGTATGGTTAGCAAGATGCAATGGATCGATGAATTCGTATCGGACGTGTAACACTAAGTGGACTGTGTTGTCAATGAAATTAACATTTGACTCGCAAATCTCAAACCTTCTGTCCATTTATTAACTAAATCCAACATAAATAATACATCATGCGCGTCACACTAGAGAACCAAAACAATTTATAAGAAACAAAAAATAGCGGGTCCAAAATTCAAAAGATATGGCATGAATCCAACCTCAATCATTCAGAAAAGTCTCGATCATGAACATTCCTAATCAGTGTTCATTTTCGCAGCACTGGGTGGCAATTCAGCAATACGAGGATATCTAGCTAGATATTCCAGGTCATCCAAGTTAGCTGCCACTGATCGAATGTATTGTTTCGACGAATCTTTGAATGGTTGATGATCCCAGGATTTCCATTGACCTATTCGAAGAGCTGCATCTGTGAATCGTCTTTGCCGTTGAGATCGAATGACCTGAGCAGTAATAGCAGAAAAGTCCCAGCGTTGTTGAACTTCTTTGAGAAATTGGGCTAAGAGTTGAGCATGCTCCACCGAAGATGATTCAGCCAAATTGATCATTTCATGTGGATCATTTGAAATATTGAAGAGTTGAGGAGGATCAATCGGACAATAGATGAATTTGTAGATACCACGACGAATCATTATCATCGGAGCTAGAGTACCTTCAGCCATATATTCTCCAATGACTTCATCGTGTTTGATGCTCGATTCGGTAAGATGAGGAAGAAGTGAACGACTGTCGATTTCAAGATGGGATTCGAGTTGACCACCAGCAAGTTCAACTAGAGTAGAAAACAGATCAATCGTCGAAATCGATTCACTCACTCGATGTGGTGAAAAATATTTTGGCGCATATATTAGTAGTGGAACACGTGCAGATGGTTCTAAGAAACTCATCTTGTACCACAATCCACGTTCGCCTAGAAAATCACCATGATCTCCTGAAAAAATAACTATCGTATTGTCTGTTAAATCACATTCCTCTAAAATCTGAAGAAGTTTTCCAACATTTGCATCGACATATGTACAATTTCCAAAATAGGCACGACGAGCTCGACGAATAGCTTCGTCACTCATTGGATTATTCCAAATATCGATGACCTTCATGAGACGCACAGAATGAGGATCTTGCTCTTCTGGTTTGATGTTTACAGTAGGCAAAGGAATCTCAACATCTTGATACATATTCCAGAAATGCTTTAGTGTCGTATAAGGATCGTGTGGATGAGTTAAACTAACAGTTAGACAGAATGGTTGTCGTTTGTTTGTTCCTACAGGTTTGCGTACATGATCGTAGAGATATTGCTGAGCTTTGTACATGACTTCTTCGTCAAAATCAATCTGATTGCTGCGTACACAAGGTCCAGCATCGAGAACCGAACTCATGTTATGATACCAATCTTGTCTAACTTCAGCTGCATCCCAGTTAACGGTCCATCCGTAATCGGCTGGATAGATATCACTAGTGAGACGTTCTTCGTAACCATGCAATTGATCATTTCCTATAAAATGCATTTTTCCAGACAAACAAGTATGATAGCCAAGTCTTCTCAGATAATGACCGAATGTCGGAATACTAGAAATGAAATCAGCAGCATTGTCGTAGGCACCGATCTTACTTGGTAGTTGACCACTCATTAGAACGAATCGAGATGGTGCACAAAGTGGACTATTGCAATAAGCCGAATCAAAGACAACTGATTCTTTAGCTAATCGACTGAGATGTGGCATCTTTATAGGTGATTTTGGATCATACAAAGGAAGAATCGGAGCACACATTTGATCAGCAATGATGAAGAGAATATTCGGCTGTTCTGGCATTTTTGAATTTGATGCGTCACTGGCCATGATATCTACTTATTTATAATATACCGATGATGATCGTTCGAGATTTTCAGCACAGCTAGAAATGACAAGAAAGAATTAAACATTAGGTCAAAGCTCGATTTCGTTTTAATCGAACTCAAGCATGGCATCGAATAGCATAGGATAGGTGAGGTGTGGATGTTGTTGAAGAAATAATCAACATTCACATCACGTACATCCACACTCTCGTAGATATACTCAATACGATATATATCTACGTATATGTAATATACAATGAAAAACTTATATCGCATATTCTTCATTTCTCTCGTTAATAATGATATCCTAAATTTCTGAAAGTAAGATTTAAGTTGTCTGACTAAGCAAAGTTTGATAGTATAAGTTTCGTTTGAAACGCTAGGCTCGATCTATTACTTTAAGTTTCGCACATGCTTGACTTCTTCTTAGCTGTGGTTGATTAACGTGCATATTTTCATCATTGTTTAAGTTTTGATGTTTTGAAGAGTTCAGAACTGATGGATTCCTCGTACATCTCTCATCACATGGAAAGATAAGAATAACAAATTTGAATTATAAACAGAGTTTTTCAAGAAACTGAAAAGCTAACTAAAATATATATATAAAAGTTTTCATTTTGTTATTGACGAGCTTCCGACACTACTTGTGTAGATGATACAACTAGTGTCGAAAGCTTGTCGATAACAAAATGAAAAATTTCATATACGTCTTTTACATAAAGGTAAGAAAAAGAATCGGTTGAAGATATCAAATAAGATCAACCAGTCGTATCGTGCATACTGTCAATAAATCAGAGAAAGAAAAGGACGAAAAAGCTTTATTTCTTCTTTAGTAAAATCATTGTTGTCGAAATGTTTCAAAATTTATGTTTGATTAACTAATGTTTTAAATGATTGACAGAAATGAATTTGACTTTTGACGAAAGACATTAGCCATATCGTATGTGCATCTAGACAAAGCTTGATTGTATGTATTAGGTGTGCGCGTATGTAAATATATACAAGAGAAAGATAAGATAAAAGTATTACGTCTTTCATATATACACCTATACAGCAAGCGCGTCTTTTTCTATCTGATAAGTACAGATCATTGTCAGGTAAGAATTAAAAACACAATACACTCTCAGACAAAAATGACTAATGTTAGTCTTTGATGAAAAAAAAAAGTTAAAATAAGAATGAAAGAAGTAACGATGAATCACTATTACTTCGAGTTATTCGTTTCTTCTTATGCTAATCACTATTCATCATAACGAACAAATCCTTTACATTTCTGACAAACATTTCAAATTTAGTTTTGTGAATTTAGGATCATGTTTTTTTTTCAGGAATGGATGTAAATGTAGATTTTTTCTTCCATCTAATCCACACTCACACGCTAGTTCAAAGTAGTTTATTGAAAGAAACTTCACTAATACCAAACTAATTCAAGATATCAGTTAGCACACTACTTCTTTTTTCTACGGTAGAGATAAACCTGAAAAAATGATACTAAAATACTTTAAAATCGAAATAATTATAACGGTGCAAAACGGCTACAAATAATTGCCAAAAAACATGAATATCATTTTCAGGTATATATTTCATTATCAACATTTGATTTTCATACAATAGTATCAATTATCTTTTTTCTGTAACCCATACATAGATTATGTAGAAAACTCATATTTATTTTTGCATGAATAAAATTTATATATTTTGATCTGTTTTTATGGCGTCTATTAATCACGATTGTTATTTGAGAAATTTCTAATGAATAAGCAATTGTACTGAATTAATAAGGTAGAAATTCTTTTCATATGATGAATAGTATTTTTTGTTTTCGTATGAGTTTGATTATAATCTGTAAAATTAGAATATTCATAAAGTTATAAGTATTTTAATAAGATTAAATAAAACTGTTCAAATAATACCTCTTCCTATTATTCTATTTATTGATCGAAATAATCTTGACTGAAGTTCATATTCGTGAATAGTTATTGAATTGAACTTCTTCATTATTAGTTTAACTAAAGTTGTTACATCTGAATATGTATCAAGGCTACGTTTCAAATAATTGAACAATCAATAATCTGAAAGAGCACAGTCAGACATGCATGGATAAATTAAATTTTTTTCTCTTGAAGACATCAAAAAATTGAGAACAAATCTTGCATATGTGATATTACACATTTTAAAACGCAAATTTATGCGATTTGTTATTGATGAAGTTTTTTGTTTTCTTATGAAAATTGTTAACTAATATCTTCAATACTAATGTGTGAATCATCACTAATATTTTGTTGAGTAATAGCAGTTATTAGGTGATCATTTTGAGAATCATTTTCCAACGATTCTCATCAACTTGAAAATCGATAAATCCAATGAGTAACTGTACTATATGAAAACAATACCTTATCCATAAATGACAGTAAAACTATGGTGTCGAAAAAAATCCATTAAAGAACTGCCATAATAGACATTTTTGAAACTTCGTATTGGGATTTAAATAGATAACAGATGCCCCTACCTTATGTATCTTCGAAAATTAACGTCTTAATTTATTGGTCGTAGAGTATAGAAAATAAAATTTGATAATGTCGTTCGTGATCGATAATACTAAAGGTATACATTGTATATTCTGTGATGTCGTTTGTTATCGATAAAATACAGATGGCGTTTCTTACCTTTATTTATGGTAATTTCTTAATCGTTGATAAGAAACCATAAATTTCATGATACTTGTCTGACCCATTTATCTAGGTCAATATTCAATTTAGATATGCATGAATAAAAAAAAAAAAAACAACTATCAGATGCAATTGAGTTTTATCCATAGAATGCTCTTCTCATTGTCATAATACACAGCCTTGTATAAATTGGTTTAGATATAAAATAATATTTGATATTGTTTTGTTTTTAAATATCTTTTATGTAAACAAAAAAAACCTAACTAATAAAATTATCAACATTGTTATACGAATTAAAATTTTTTCAAGTAAGTTATTATTTGAAACAAAAAACAGACTATTCGAAAAAATAATAATCTGCTAATTCCATTTTTTTTAAATAGTTTTATTTTGACATAAGCTACAGAAATAATATTCCATAAGAATTAATTTAGAATTCTATTTATTGATTTATTTTAGTAGTATCATTACATAGCAACAAGTAATTTTCTTTCGTTTCGAATATGTTGGTGTATTGTCAACAAAATTTCAATAAATAAAAACGGATTCATTAATTTATACAAGCAAAATGTGGAAATCTATTCTGTATTGAGTTAGACAGAGGAAGATTGATATTGATGATACAATTCATCGATATTTGCATAAGACTTATTCATTAACAAGTGACATTTGGTTGATGAAGATTTCCACAATAAATATGAGTAATCAATTCTTAACTGCATATTCTGTGTCAAGGGACAGTCCGATAAAGAAAGTAATATTTGTGTCAGTCAAAAATGAAAAAGAAAAAAAAACCAACAGTTATATCCTATCAACAAATTACTCTTAGGTTTGACGCATGCACGTGTGTGGATAGTTCTAATCTATTAGGAATAGTCGAATATTTATCATTTATAACATATTTGATGTTACTCAGAAAATAAGAATAACGAGCAAGAAAGTAAAAAGTACGACTGCATTGATTACAACATCTAAGTGATGATTTCGTTCAATAGTTCATGGTAGCTTTCATCAATTTATCTTTTTGTATATAGAACTTTGTTCTCTACCAAGATTGTGTCATAGTACATATTTCTCATATAATAGAGTTCTGTACAAGGCTAGTATGTTATAAAGAAAGAACATACATCGCCTGTGTGTTTCCGGCATGTCAGAGAAAAGAAAAAAAAAGACTTGAGTACATTGTTCCTTATATATATATACACACCAAGTTAGATTTCAGATCAAAGCCCGTGTATTGAACAATCAAAATCTTAAAAAAATGTCCTCTGATACAGTAACTATTGGTAATTATTTGCTTCAACGTTTAAAATCATTAGGTGTTGACATTATCTTTGGAGTACCCGGTGATTATAATTTGGTAAAATATTTCTCAATTTTATGCTCGAAAAACAACTTTCATTTTTTGTTTTTTAGCCACTTCTTGATCAAATTGAAGGTGATACTTGTTTTCTTTTTTTAATAAGAGTTTTCTTTGACGGTTTTTATTATTGTTTATCATTTCCTTAGATTTTGATGGTATTCAATGGGGTAATAATTGTAATGAATTGAATGCATCATATGCAGCGGATGGTTACGCACGTATTCGTGGCATTGGAGTAAAATATAAAAAGAACATCTAAATCTTAATCATATTTGTTTTGTTGATATTATTATTCTTAGGTTCTTGTAACAACATTTGGTGTTGGTGAATTGTCAGCTATTAATGGTAAGATTTTCTAGTTTTTTTTTTTTTTTTTTCTTCTTTGGATAAATTATATTTAAAACAAAATAAATAAATGATTTTTCAGGTATTGCTGGTTCATATGCTGAAATGGTTCCAGTTATTCATATTGTTGGAATGCCACCAACAGCTTCTCAATCCAGTGGTGCTATTCTTCATCATACACTAGGTAATGGAGATTTTCGTGTATTTGCAAATATGTATAAAGAAGTAACTGTAAGTTTATTTAATCATTGTTTTGTTAAACTTAATATAGAATTGAATTATTTATTAAAGATTGCTCAAACAATATTAACAAAAAAAAATGCAATTGAAGAAATCGATCGTGTTCTTACTCAATGGTATTTGATTAATTTTTTATTAAATTTTCATTTAAATATATTTTATATTTAGTTTACTCAAAGGTCGACCAGTTTATATTGGATTAGCAATTGATCTTAGTGATTTTGAAGTTAATGTTGATTTATCAAATCTAAAATCACTTAAATTAAAAATTCCACACAATCCAAAAGATGAACATGCAGCAGCCATTGAAGCTATTATTGATGCTGCTAAAAAAGCTGAAAATATAATTGTTATTGTTGATGCGTAAGAAATTAATTTATATTTGAG